TGTTCTACTCTTATCCCAAGCCAAACAACTTGATAATTTAATTGATTCAAGAAAACAATTCGGCAAAGTTCGGAAACTAGAATACCAAACATATAGAGATAAGGTTCTTCTGTGTATTCATTAGGATAATTTAAATAAATGTAATTAAGTAATCGATAGAGGAAAAAAGGTGTAATGAAAGCAAAAATAGATCTTAATATTGCGATAACAAGGAAAAGAATAAGATTTGTTGCATTGGCATATAACAATCGGGAGAGAAGATCCAAATTTGCTGTTCTGATATAAAATTCAATAATAATAAATATATATATTTAATAAAAAAATATATATAGATATATTTCATATAATAATATTTAAAGTAAAGAAAATCAAAAAAAAAAAAAAAATAAATTATAAATTTACCGATCTAATTCATAATAACATTGAGCAGCTTGACACCTAGAAGGTAATTCCCATAAATCATCTTCTGTGAGATTACGCAAGTTACCTAATTTTATCATTGGCGTCATCCATGAGAAAGTAGTTAATGACCAAAGTGATGCAATTGTATCATGAGATATAACTCTATTTCTCGCATATTTCAAATCAGGATTTCTCGGTCTTTTGATGGAGAAAACAAATAACATGCAACATGCAGTAGCATTCCATATTGCAAAAACTAGTTCATAACTTGAATTTTTTTGGGGGGATTTAATTACGGAACGAAGATTTACGCATGAAATTATTGCAAAAAGCGCGTAGAGTAATAGAAGTTGCCTAATGAACGCATATTGAGTTTGATTTTTTCGTGTCATAAAGTGACATGCAATTAAAGTAACAATATAAAACTATTTAAAAAGAATGAATAAGATTATATAATTCAATTAAAGTTTTTTTTTAAAAAAAATTTCTGACAAGATAAAAATGACCATGAACAATATTATAAAATATTTTTACCCATGAAAAGAATAGACCTATCGCACCAATTACCCAGTAAAGACCATATTTTTTGCTATCGTCATAAGGATCGTCATATTCTTCTAGTCTCCAACCCAACAGGAAACCCACGAAACCTAATTGAATAAAAGATATGACAAGTTGACCGATATCATACTTTGACACAGGTATAAACCCACGCTCGCCTTGTAAATTAGGGTTATTGAGTATTCTGTTCCTTGGTCTTTTACGGCAAGTAAA